GCCCCTCTCATGTTCAACAATCAGCCTGTCTGGCAGCCCGGTCGAAGTTGTGAGTTGCTGAAGGCAACCACTGTGGACGATATGCCCCCATCTCAGCCACCCTTGTCCATCTCCTCAATTGGAGTGCCGCGTCAGATTGGCCCAGCCGTCTCCATTTGACGCACATCAGATCGAACTTGCACTGTCCGGGGCCAACCCTGTTTTTCAGATCCCAGCCAGATCTTGCTCGATTGGCCCGAGATGGGTGCGAGGGGCGTCGGGCCAGGGTTGAAGGGCCGGGGTTGCCACTGCACTGGGGCGTCCAGGTCTGGCCAATCCAGCGTCACTTGACTGCCATGAGCCGGCTCCCTCGAACAAACTTTGTTTGCCCCAATAGCTCAAACTTGTTGGGTTGTGATGAATGATTGTGTGACATGAACCGTCCTGCTGGGATAGGCTTTGACCGGCTGCTTTTCTGATCAAACCCGGGCGATATTTGCGAAGAGTCCGTGATGCCTCTTGGCTTCAGAAGGGGAAAGTTGATTGAACAAATTGGGTGCACGTTTGCTGATAACTTGCGACTCTCCATGGCACAGACAGTGCCCTATGTGCCTGGTTCTCAAACGGCAATCTAAATTGACAGCCGCCACACAGCAACGGGTTCAATCTGTCCAGTGGGGACAATGTCGTCGGAACTAGACGAGCGTATGGCCATAGCGGAGGACCTGAATGACTCTGTGGGGCAATAGTTCGGTTCAGTTGTTTCGTCAGCTTTCAGAAGCAATAGCTTCTTGCCTTTTCATTTTTCACAAATTGCAGGGGCATTTGCCTGCCACAACGATGAAGGAGAGGCCAAGGGTAAGCGTGCGCTACCAAACGGCGCTGGACATGGGTATGGGTAGTTGACGACATTGGCCAGACAAGGGGGAGGAGGCGGAGTGAGAATAGCATGAAAAGGTATTGGGGGGCCAGAATCTGACAGGTATTGTCTTGGAGGTCTTGCTCCGCCTAAGCGCAGACGGCTCATGAGCAGCGAACTATGGCTACGCAGTCCGCCCAGAGGCCTCGACAAGTCACTTTGTCCTAGTAGACGAGTGACGGCTAAGTCTGCGTGTCTTGATGATGATGCAGGGTCGTCGTCTCGGCTCCAACTTTGGAGGGGGCGCGACCGTAGCGCCTGGAGAGAGGAAATCCGGGCTGGGGAGTGCCATTGTTGACAGGACAAGCCAGGGGTCGGTCTTCGTCGCTGAGGTATCTCTAGCCCATGTGTGTCTCTGTGCCGGTCTTCATCGCGGCGATAGCTCACATCCTAACGCACAGGGAGCCTTGTTGACGGTCCATATCAGGTATGATAATGGGCCAGCGGAAGTGGCTTTCCTAGGATTGTTCAGCCAAAGGTCGATGGACAGTCAATGCGAAATCACAATCACAATTTAATGCGTGCAGCTGGCGGCGGGCGAGAGCAGGAATGGCCACTTACATGCTGTTGCAACATGTACAAGCGCGTAATCGTGCCCGGAGCACCGTCATGGCATCGTAGCATGGAGAGAATGCTGGAAACAGCGTGGTCTAGCAATTGCAAGCCGTGGGGACATGCAGCCGAGCGTCATAGGCTTCTCACATTGACGACCGTGGGCGACTTAGACCCGTGTCACCAACACAGACGACATTGCTTTTGCCTATCCTTGGCTGAAGGGACGCGGATGAATGCACGTTGGGCCACGCCGCCACACTCTGCCAACCCCAATTCGGTAGACGGTGCAGAACGGCGCTGGTGCTTGCGGGTGCTGTTGAGTGGTGGTCAGCGGCTTAAGTTGAGAGGTGACGGTTGCGTGGCAGGGGCAGCGAATCGATGAGTCAGGTACTGGGGGTCGCCAGCTCAGGCTCGGTGACCGCTGTTTGATGAATCGTCAACAGTCGCAAGAATGGCAGAAGATGAAGTTGGCGTGTTGAAAACGTGAAGCGTCTTTTCGACTCGACTCCAGTCAGGGAGGCTCTGTGCTTTGCAGCCTGAGGCACAACTGTCAATCTATCTAACCCAAGGGAGGTACGATCCATTCCATCCATTCCACGATATGACTTTCCAAACCTAAAGGAAGGTCCTGCTCGACAAGAACCTGCCATACAATGGGAATGGAAGCCCTCTCCAATTTCCAACTTGGAAGGAGCCAATGCTTACTTCCTCAAAACCAAAAGCACATGACTGAAGCGCCGGCGTCTGTCGCGCTAGTTGTGACCGTTGGCTGGGTGGTCCATCCTCCTTTTCAACTCCGAAGCTCTTCGGTCGCCACACATCGCATCAGTCAGAACTACACCACTCCGTCCCGGGCTGTCAGGATTGCTTTTTCGACAGCTAAGAAGCGGAACGTGAGAGAAAAAAAACTGCCGCTGTCTTTCTTTTTCCTACGATCCTGCCCCCTCGTCCCCCGCCATCCACAACTTTCGTCCTCCACCCCCCGCCTCTCCGATTCCTCTCCGCCCCTAGCATCACCCACCTTCCACGTATAGTCGCCATGACTGGCGCTACTCACGGACACTTGTGATCCTCATCCCCGAGCCGAAATCTGCTGCGGAACAGAGGTTCATGATACTAATCAAACATGACTCGGTCGACCCTCCCCGCCTCCAGCTCTTGAGCCCCTCTAGTCATCTTTGGTCGATTTTGTCATTCCCCCACATGTTCAAAGTGCGTTAGCATCGCCCACTCCTCGGACCGGGTTGGCGGTTGACACGGGCCGTTCGGTCTTTGCAGCAGTCATGTTGCCTCATTCGTCTATCGTCTACTGTCTAACTGATCGCTGGAGGCAGTGGGGAGAGGCGGCCCAGGAAACGAGCTACTGGTAACCTCGAGCAGCTGTCAGCCATTGTTAGGCAGACACCTGTCTTGGTTGGAATCACGCGCCTGGGACTCTTCCGCTAGACAGTCTGGCTTGTGTCCAAGACCGATGCTCCGTAATGCCGGGGTGCATTATCTTGCCTCAAACGCTGTCCTTTCAGTGGGCGCTCTTGTGGTGCCAGCCAGTGGGAGCAAGATTAGCAAACCTCATACGCCATCTTGCACCCAAGGCTTTGAGGCGTTGCATAACCACCAGCAACTTACACCAGATATTCTCCGGAAAGCCTACTTCTGCCTTGCCCGTGTTACTATGGTCGGATCCGATGCAGCCCTATTGGTTTCAAAAGGGGAACAAGGCGTTCATCCCGTCTGCTCAGCCCGAGTCTTTGCGTTGGTGGCATTTCAAGGATCCTTGATCCTTTGTCATCGGCCGAACGACACGACAGTCTCTTCTTGTCGCCATGGTTGGACAGGGAGGAATACCGAAAATACTCCATATTGTGCTCAGGCCAATCATTTCTTTCAGACCAGATACCTCCTACCATCTAGTGCCGACAACCCTGGCCTTTCAGCAGGAACGGCACATAGCGAGGTGAGTTTTTATCGAATTTATCACTTCTCAACTTACGAATTGATGACAGAGTCTACCAGCCGAGGATAACAGGTTTTGGTTCGGCTATACGTCAGGGCCCCTGTATCCCTTGTCAACTCGAGGGAGATGAATGGTCAATGGCTATTCGGTTAAGCCAAATCGTACAGTAGCTCGTTGACGGACGCTATCTCGGTTGAGTTCCCGCCGCTATGTATCACATCCGGCTCGGCCATAGACAGGGGTCATAGATCGACGGCGATCCCACTACCTTTTACAGACGCAAAGACTTTTTAGTGCCAAGGGTCCCGATCCGGTTGAAGCCCTTGTCCGGCTGGACAACCATGAGCACCCAAGAAGAGAGAACCCCTTGTCCATCATGGCCTCATTTTTCGACGATCATCGCATGTTCGTGTCAACAGGATCGGCAACGCAGCAGCACATGGGCATTGCCATGCGCATGGGCTAGAGGGGGACCCTACTTACTGGTCTCGTCTCCTATTCAAAGACCCGAAACATCTCTCAAACTGGCAAGTCCGTGTCACAGAACCCTGCCTCAGCTTTTGCATGTTATCACCACCTGTTCCGGATCCCAGGCAAGCGAAGACGTATAAGGCAATGCACAGATGGACGGGCTTAGCCTGCATCAACTCGACTGCACCTTGGACGGGTCTTTTTTTAGTCGCATATCGGCTGCTCACGCTTGCCTGCCGTGCCCTCCACATCAAAGAAAGGCAAGGCGGATGCCACCAGCCAACAGATACCGGACGTCTGTCAGTGATATCTGATAGCAGTGGCTGGTTGACACCTGGCACCTCGGGACTTGGGCATGTCCCGTGACCGAGGACTCGACGGCAATGTTTGCTTTTTATTCCCATGGCCCCCGTAGATCAAGGTTCGAGCACCTCAACCGCTCATGTCAGCGCCACACAATCGGCAGCAACGCTCACCCTGGTGTCCAGCCCTGTTTCATCTGAGCCCGATGTCCGGGTCTGAGGGTGGCGATTGCCATCTCACCAAGCCTCAGGGGCAGATCGGGAACGGCGTCGACGGTATGAACCATGGCGCGAGCGGTAGGAAAGAAATCGGTCCTAGTCGGATATGAATCTGATTCCTGATATACTACCAATCTCAATGCCATCCTTCCTCTGGACGCCAGGGTCTGTCTGTGCGCCAGACAGTGTCTAGGGTCTATAGTACTGATGCACAGCCTTCATGGCCCGTCTTCGGTCCCTCAGGCTCTTGCACGCCCACGGTTGCGAGTCAGAGGCACTTGTGGGCTCCCTCTCCCTGGTGCCTCGGACACCAGGCGTCAGGTTGTTTCGAATCACAAGCACAGTACCTCGAGCCGGGTTGTTGGGCAGAGCCTCCAATTCTCCACCGTCATCCGGAGCCTCCACTCTTATCCTCTGGGTCTCACCAGCGGACGGCACGCGTCTCGTTCCGGAGTCACTCTAGAGTTTAGAACCTGCTTCGGCTTGGGACAGCGACCCCGTTCCTGGAAACGATTCGTCGCCCGAGAACCTCCTGATTCTGGCGTCAGCACGGGCCGAGATTGACGTGATACAAGTGGATGGCGGTGAAAAGCAAGCAGGTCTACCGTCTGGAGACCATGTAGATGGATGGGCCAACTAACCATCCTCGCTCCTCTCCAGAGGTCAGGAAGCTGCAGTCGCTGTCCAGCTCGCACTGCCATGCTCCCACGGTCTGGGCCTCGCTTATTAGTGTCCCGCGTTCGCCTGCGGTGCCATATTTGTCAAGATTCTGCTGCTGCTGCCAAGTTTGGGTCACTTGACCAGAAAACTTACCAGGACCGGCCATGTTCGTCTGCGTACTTCGCCTGCGGTAGACGCTCAGCCCGCAGGTGAAGGCTTGGAAATCCTCCGTCTCGACGGTGTCGGGGATGTTACCCGACAGAACGCGGCCCAGGGCGATGATTACGGCTGCATGTGTGCATATTAAGGCGGCGCGCTTTCCCTCCCGATCACATTGGTCGATGATGGCTTGCACGGCCGCTGCAACTCGCCCGTACAGGTCCTGGATCGTTTCACCTCTTCTCGACGGGGTCAAGGCGGACACGTAGTTCTCATCGTAAGCTGGAAACAGCGCCTTGAGTCGGTCGGCGGGAGCTGGCACTGGGTGGTCAAAGGGCGCTGCCCCAAAGAACTCACATAGTCCATACTCTGGGCGGATTCTGGTGGCGGCAGTGTCGAGTTTGCCTCCGGATTGCTGTCTCTTGAGCTCCACAAAGGGATTGATTGTCTGCAAGCACCTGTAGTAGGGGCTAGAGTACACGACGTCGATGGGAGGATCAAGTGTCATCAGATGCTGGCCCATCTCCTTGGCCTGTGATACTCCATGCGACGTCAAGGGAGGGTCTGCGGGAATGCCTGTGGGTGACCGTATGAAGGCGGAATAAACGCCAGTCAGAGGGTCGACACTCCAGCCTGATCGAAACTGAAATTTGGGGTTGATTTGTTAACATGGGCCAAAGTAACAACACCATGGTCGCCTCGTAGGGTCGTCTAGACCGGGATACGCCTTGGTTCGTGACTTACCCCGTGGCGGGTGACATATATGACCTCGAGGGACATGATGATACTACTATCAATGCGCAAGTTAAGAATCGGTGGCTCTATGTTACCATTGCTGTTGTTGTTGAGATGTCGGTCATGGGGGGTCCATGATGATTGGTGTTGACCGACGCAAGATCTGGTGGACCTCGGGATCTCGGTGTGAGCCACATGACGGCGTGGGGAGAAGCCTCGGCCCCACCTACCGGAAATCGGTCTTGAACTTACTATCCCTCATGACCAATCAAAAATTGGAAACAGAGAACCTAACCTCGCGGATCGAACCCTAGCCCCGTCGTGGTCACTTTCGCCATCAATAAGTTTCAGAGCTGGCGCCCTTGCAGGTCGTTGCAAGCTGATTGCCTGCCGCTGTTGCGAGCCCCTGAACTGCCTTTGCAAACCGTAGCGAGCTGCCGTTGAAACTTGCCTTTACGAGCCGCTGTAAACTACCTTATGACTCAAGGGAATCTCTCGGCTATGAACCTCAGGCATCAAAATCGGCTTCGCTAACCTCTGGCAACGGGCTGCTATTAGTAACTTGCCTATATTTACCTTCTATCAATATGGTAGCGTCTTAGAGAACGAAGGGTGGTAGTATAGGGATGTAAAGTCAATATCATGTAGGTTAGGACTCATGTGGCTCGATTGTGGGCATATAAGCTAAAGAGTAACCCTCGCCTATCTCGCATGTTCTCCAGAAGCACGATATTACGGGCGAGAAACTCTCCGGGGCATTGATGTTGAGGTGTCTCTGACCGAGTTACTCGCGGAGATGTTGAAGGTCCCGACTTTGGAAGACATACTCAGTCTTGGTTGGTGACGCCCTGCCAACTTCATTACCAGTCGACCCAAGCTTCTTGATTCCATCGTTCGATCATCGTCGACTTGTTCATTTCATGTCAGGTAGGTCGTGTCTAGTCGTAATTAGCCGGATATTAGGGAGAGGCTGGGCAAGGCGAAGCAGATGGTAAGGCTACACTTGAGTTGGACGAGGACTCGATCTCAGCTACTGTCCACGTATAACAAGATTGACGAGTTGACAGAACCCAGTGTTTACTATGGAATTTAGGAACCTTTCCACAGTCTGTTTAAGCACCCAAGTCGTGAAGCTGCATTAGGCTTTTCGCAGCCTGGAGTGAAAGCGGCAACCCAAACAGAAGTGAAAAGCCACCATCCACAGGAATATCTTCAAGGTCGGCCAAGCGCAGAATTACGAGTTGCCTCTCTTCTCTCGGGGTTAAATGGATCCCCGTCTTTTTGTCCTGTTGGCAGATAAATACGTGTTGAAAGCCGCCTTGTCCTCGTCTTTTTGAGTTCCCTTTCAACATTGCCTACCTACCTCCTTGAACAAACCACCAACTACAACAAACCAATTCTTTTATATCTTTAACTACCCCCATTTCCAAATTATCTTACAATGCTCATCCTTTCTCATGGTCGTGGACGAGGTGGCCGTCGTGGCGGAAAGACCCGTGCCTCTCTCACGCTCGACATTGAGGAACAGCAATCCACACAGGTTTTGCGACCTTGTCAAATCATATGGCAGTCGATGTCAGTTGGTCTATGGAGGAACTTATCGACACTGTTATCGATGGTATTTCCGAAATCAACGCGGTCCTGAATAACGAGGACCTCGTCAGTGTCATGTGAGCATTGCGTCTACCTTTCATGGGCTGTTCATATTACATGACAAGGTTGGCTAACTACTGTAATCAGAGACTTTGCCGAATCCCAACGGACCATCTTTGGATATCTGAAACGATGGAAAGTTGACTGGGATAACTTGAGGGACACGTTGGAAACCGATGTACAGGACTCTAACCGCGGAATTGAAACTGCTCTATGGGACGCAATTGGGTATGTCCTCGACACGACTCCACGTAACAGGGCGTACAGCCGGTACAAGCCTGAAATTGTCATCTTTACCGATGGCTATGACAATTGTTCGACAGAGCACGACATCCAGAGCATCCAAGAGACCCTCCGGCATCCGGGCATTTCTCACGTTCACATCACCATCATCGATGCGTCTGAGTGCGGCAATTCCCAGCTTAGAAGAATTTGCGGACGGATTGAGCATTGCTCGTATGTGCCAGTCGAGGCTTCGGATGAGGCCGTTGAGCGTGCTTTTGTCGATGTCGTTGCAGCCGTCAAAAGACGTCTTACCATCTCGGTCGATCTATCAGGTGACACGATAAACGCACTGGCAACTACATTCAATCAGCTGGCCATTGAACCCGCGGCGCTGCCTTCTACAGAAGGTGGAGGTGGAAGAGGCCGTGGACGTGGGCGTGGTCGCGGTCGTGGCGGACATGGGCGTGGGCGACGAGGACGTGGATCTGGCTAACTGGAAGCTGTCCAGGTTGTCTCTTGGGAAGCGGTTCGCCCAGGGTCAGCATCATGACCTGGCTGTCATAAAGAGGCGAGATAGAATGCAGGGAACGTGGGAGTCCAACACGTAACGGCATATCTGGATCGCCCCTGAAATCCTGTCCTGCTGCATCTGTGTGTAGATAGATGAGAAAATGCTGAGCCTTGATACGCTGTTTGAGCCATTAGAATGAATTTTGGCAAATAGAATGTTGATTATTTAACGACGTGTTGTTAATAGCGTTATAACGAGAGCTAATAGCTGGTAGTTGTCGTGCTGCTGGGCTTGTTCCTGTAGTCTAAAGCCAGCCTGGCCCAGAACCCTATCACCAGCGTAGGTGCCGGCAGTATTAAGGTTGACAGCTCATGAGTTAGCGCCGAGGTGAACAGCTGAAGAATAAACATTGGTCAAGGTCGCAGCCGTCAGAGAGATCATGGCGGTAACAGTTATCTATACCCAACCAAGGGCTGTCTGAGGGGAAATCGACAGTCTAGTTGGTGCAGCCAAGCTTGGTTGTAAGAGGCCATGGCCAAGCAGATGCAGAAGTCTCGCGTCCAATCTATCACAGTGCTTGCCGAGCAGCGCAGGGCCATTGTCTAATTCGCTGTCTCACAAGCCACTGCCTATTCATATCCGCCCATGGTTGCTCCCAAAATCATTCAGAATAACCTCACTCTACAATGGCCGGCAAAGTATTTAAAACTTTTTTAGTGCCTCGCGGTAAAGACCTATCACTGCCTATTATTATAGTTACTCTTTTATAAGCTATGAAAGCCAGGTTATATATCCAATCTCGTATTAAATGAAGGACTTCTCCCAAGCGAGGATCAAAGAAAGGAGCTCTAACACTCGAAAATAAGGACTGCGCAATGACATCGAAAAACACGACATATTAAAGACTTACCAAGTTGGATCATCATTTATGGTAGACAAAATACACATCCAACTCCCACTTCCCACAGAGCATTAGCACATCATCATTATCGTCCCAATATTTGTCGAATCCAGGGTAGCTCAACATGGAATTACCCCATTAGGCAACTACTCGACGCAAGTGGACCCAGTGGCTGACATCAGCCATAAGCCACCATAATGGCTGACGAGAGCCTTCGCGATGCCCTCTCCCAAGTTTCCTCCTATTATTCTCCTGAGCCAAGGATTTCGGGCCCGACAATTTCAACTGAAAGAGATGGAGCAAACACGTTCTGGCGATTCACAGTCCCCTACGGAGGCGGATGCGAACCATGACACGCAAAGTAGGCCATCGGCCGTGAAGAAAAAGGTTGTGAGGCGAGATCCTGCAAAGAGACGGTTGCAGAATCGTCTAGCGCAAAAGACATACAGTGAGTTTTTTTTCACCCCTGAGGAAGAGACGGGTGACTGGTTTTTTATATGTGGTGGGTTCGAAGTGTTGCGGGCTCTGGTGGCTGACATGATCCATCTCAGGGGAAAAGCAGAGGAAACGCATCCAGGAACTGGAGCGTCGTGCCGGAGAACCGGGCTTCGAGGCACATGCAGGTCCTCTTCCCGGGCCCAGTGATACCCAAATGGTAGTTAGGGCCGCTGCAGAGCCGACGACGAATGCAGGAACCCTCAATGCTGAGACTGTCAACCCCTCGCAGCTCCAGGCTGGCAGTGGGACCTCAACCTCACAGTCAACAGAAGATATCTGGGGCCAAGATCTTCTCTCAGCCACTCTTGATCAATGGCTCAGCGAAAACCCCATAGGAGTTGACGAGAACCAGTATTCCATGGTATACTTCAACTGCGGATGCCCTATCCTTCACATCCCTAATCACTCATCCCACATCCTCCTCCCTGTCATCCCAGACCCCTACATGAACACGTTACGCATCGACATCATCTGTGTCGTCAGTGCCATGCTGCAAAACTGTCTCCAGCTTGGCATCACACACGCCATGTACTGCTCCGACGACGCCATATCGCCCTTTTACAGGCCTCACACCGACGCGGAGCCTGGCGAAGGCGCCGTGGTTTCAGCGGTGCAGCGTGGATTTCGTGCTCTGCATTTTGACCTAAGACCCACGCACAAGCAGATCGTGATAGAGCACCATCCGTTTCTCGACGTGATCCCGTTCAAAGAGATCAGGGACAACATCATTGATAACATGGACACCATGGACGAGGATGAGTTCTTCCACGATTCGTTGAATCACCTGACGTGTTGGGGGAGTATTGCAGGGGCGCATACTGGATCTCCGTGGGATGCTCGAAGCTGGGAAGCGACCGAGATGTTCTTGCAGAAGTGGTCGCACATTGTGGGAGGCGAAGACGGCGAGTTGACGAGGAATTCGCGGTGGTGGAGGTCTCTCAGGGGTGAGAGGGTGGTGACCGAGGTCATGTAAGATGGAAAGTGTCTTTGAGAAAGACAACCAGTATGTTGAGATGCCGAAATGGCTCGTAGATATCCAGCTTAGAATTGCTCTCATGTAGTTGACCGTCTATACAAAGATGCAGAATGACCATCGTTGAGTGTGATGAAACCCTTGAGCTACATCTGCGCCGATATCATGCTATGAATGCCAAACAGTATGGAAATCACCCAGAAACACATATACCTTGTTCTACCTTGACGCCGCCCACTGAAAAACTCCAGTAGATCCAAGTGCTTGCCTATCCCAAATTGAACACCACCTTGTTGACCTGAATATCGGGGGAAAAAAGCCCATCCATGTACGTTTGTTGTGTGTCAAATCCGCATTCCATGCAGTTTCTGGCCTTGTTATATAAGTCATATCGGAAGCTCACATGACAGAGCATGATCCGAGTGTGCGAGCCCTCCGGCGACCCGTAGGACCCAAGCCCCCGTCTTCCTCGTCCATATGGAGGGCTTGGGCCTCCCGGGCTCGACGCCTGCGTCTCCGGTAGCCCGCACCTGTCATGCCCGCTTCCTCGGTAGCCTGCATGTAATCTGCCCATCTCCTCTCTAAGCGGCCTGCGGCTGCAAGATCACCCCGCAGAACCCGCTTCTGGTGCTCATCAACCGTCATCTGCCAGCCGTAGAAACACTTCAATCCAATCACCTCAGTCGGGTAGCTCACTCTGCCGCTCTGACCTGCGACAGGCTTGACTTGAGTGTTTCTGAAGAGAACTTCTCGAACACCCGCCCATGTCACATTCTGACAGTCATAGACTACCATCTGGAGAGTGAGGTCCGGTCGTGTTCCTGCTTTCATTGATCGTTCAGAGCGTTTCATAACCATGGATGCTGCCTCTGCGAGGACGAGGTTGCTAATCCTGGTATTGTCCAAGTCGACACTCCTGAGTTTCGTGCAACGTTCCATAACCGGTAACATACCCGTATCACCAAGATTCTCACAGTAGCTTAGGGACAGGTGCTCCAGTGAGTCAGCACATGGCGCCTTGGCTAGATGTTCAGACAAGATTGAGTTTGTGAGATTCTCAAGGTCTTCGAGCTCAAGGTGCGTTAGCCTAGGCGTCGAAGCCAGAATGGACTCGAGGGCATCGTCGTTCAACAGCTTGCAGCCAGAGAGCTGCAGACCCTCGAGATCTGGCACAAGGTGACCCAAGGCTTTTACACCTGCGTCTGTGAGACGAGCACAACGGCTGAGATCCAAGTGGCGAAGCTTTCGAGGAGGAACAATTGGCTGATCGGTCAGAATATCAATCTCCGGCTCAACACCGTGCATCATGACTTGGAGAGCTTCATCGGTGAGCTCCGCGCAGCCGCTCAGAACCAGTCTCTCCAGGTTGTTGGTCTTGAAAATGGCCTTTGCAGCAGCCAAATTGTCGAAACCTCCGACTTCGCCGGCACGGAGATCCCTCAGCTTTGGGCAAGCTTCAACCACTGTCTTGACGCCTCGAGCGTCCACTCTGCCACACCATGAAATGTTGAAAACCTCGAGTTGGGGGCAAGATTCGGCAATAATCTTGCAAGAGGTATTGGAAACTGCCGTCAGTCCAGTCAAGTTGAGACTGACCAGCTTCTCGTTGCTTCGCAGCAAGCTGTGAAGCGTATTCTTTTGAAAGTTCTGGCAACCTTCCAGGGTTGCATTCATGAGGTTCTTGCACGCCTTGACAATAACTTCAGTGCGCTTGTAGTGCTCAACCTGCACACAACCTCGCAGGTTCAGGTCCTTGATGAAAGGTCCCGCGGCGACAATTATCTTGGCCAATGATTCGGCTGGGACTTCTCGGTAGAACTCGGAGGCATCAAGAGATGTCCACAGCTGGCCATCGAAACAGGCCTTGTAGAACGACCTCGAAACTCGAGAGGTTCGTACCAGCTCCTTCGGTCTGAAGAAGGAGAAGATGTGAATTTGGAGCTCGTAAGGCATCCTCTCCCAGAAATGGAAGGGTGGCTTCTGGATCGGCTTAATGCCGGGGCGGACGTCTTGCTTCACCCTGAGATCAGACGGGAGCGGCACGGTGCCTGGAGTTGTGGCCGGGGTGCCATTGTCGACCTTCCGGATTCCCAATTGACTCTCGATGCTCTCAAACGGAAACTCCCCGGAAGAATGGGCATAAAATGTCGACGCGTTGGAAACCCCCAGTGGCAATGTTTGTGGGGTTGGAGATCGGACGCTGTGGGGGGTCTGAGGTGGGCCAACAGCGGCGAGACTAACACACGAGAGTGTGCTTCGTGTGCTGTAGGGGCTCCCAACAGACCTCGAGCGACGCAAGTTGGTCAGTGAAGGTGATGAAGATATCCGTTGAATCCGTCGGAGCAGCCGGTGACGGTTCTTCTCCTTGATCGGCATGTCCGGCGCTGGCGGAGTGGATACGCCTTCTGGGGCCGGCGTCGCGGAGCCGGATGACGCTATCTCGTGTACGTCCATGGTGTTTGAGGTTGCTGACAACCAAGACCAAAGCAAGAAAATAAGTCCAAAAAGAGAAAGAAACGATGCGTTTCCTGCGCTGACAAGCCTTCAAGGCAAAAAAGAGCAAATGCCGCCACTGATAATTGTACTCGTCGGTCGAGCGAGGCCGGTCGGTCGGGAGGTGGCTGGTGCGTTCCTCGGTCACTGTTGGGACGGACGCTGTTCTATCTCATCGCTAGCGAAGGACGTCGACGGAGGATTGCCAGGTGGTTCGCGGAGGTTAAGTTTGGGTACAAAAAGTGACAGGACACCGACGATGGGGAAACGCAAACAATAAAAAGAATGAAACTGTCGTGAAAGGGAGAAGGATAAAAAAAAGTCGAGCTCGATGTCTCTTGGAGGGGGGACTCGAGATCAGCAGACGACGGGGTGATGGTGGTGGGGGAGTGGTCAGCGGGGCCGTTGTGGTACTTGAGGATGAGGCGTCAGATCTTCCAGGAGAGACAGGAGGAGATGATGGGCGTTCAGTCGAGGTGCGCGTAAAAGGCACATGCCCATGGGAGGACCAACATGACCGTGATCACCGGAACGAGAGAGGGATGGAGAAGGAGGAGGAGGAGGAAGATGAAGAACAAGACGAGAGCCTTTTTTTTTTTCCTGCTGGAAACCGCGCCCCCGGAACACACCCGTACCTACTTGACTTTCCACTCACCACCTACCGAGCCCGAGTCCGAGTTAGCAGCAGAGCCTAGATGGATGCATGGCGTGGGAGGGGGAGGACCCTGCTTCTCGGCCTCACACGCTAATCCCCACCGTCTAGGTTCTTATCGTGCTGCAGCGGCGGCGGGGTCGGCTACTGTACGGGCTGTACGGGCACAGCTCCGGCTGTAGCGAGTTCATCCGTCCAGTCCATCAATGGATCCATGGATAACTGGGAATCCGATGGGGTGGATGGCGTCGACTCTATTGATAACAGCCTTGGTAGCGTTTCGGCGAGTCCTGGCTGGAATGAGACCTTGAATCACATCGCGGGATACACGAGGCAAAAACGAGCAAACCCCAAACCCTGAAGCGGACAAGATTTCCCAATAATCCAACGGGGCAGTGATCCGGAGGCCAATCGGTACAGTACATGACAAGGCCACTCCAGACCATACTCAAGGATCCTCTCGTCTCTTTTCAGGGGCTCCTTCACTGGTGTGTGCATCGCCTCCACCCTCCCATCCATCCCATCCATCTTACCCGAGCCATCCCCAACATAGGCTGCTCTCTCGTGTGTCCGCGTGGCACCCGTGTTTGGGTTGTTGCGCCGTACCTAGCAAGATACCACCCAAAAATGCCATTTCTCCTGGTCATCATCTCATCCATTTTGCCCAAGGCGCCAGATTGTGGCTTTTTTGCTTAATCCCGCTCTTGGTCATGCTTTAAACTTTGATGAAAAAGATCACTTACACTGGCTCATCTTTACTGCAAGAGGCTACTCGCCGTTGCTTCGAGGCCTTGAACCCGAGCGTGCCTGTCTCGGATCGCCCAGTTCTAGACGTCTCCCCCCCCAAAAGGACCCCCAAGGTTCCAAGGGGCCCTCGGGCCCTTACACCCAGCCCAGCTGTAGGCAAAACGTTCCCTGACTCAAGGGTCCAGCTCGCGATGGACCAACCATGGGAGCCGCTTCTCCGCATGCAGGTTCTGGAAGGCGGTCAGAACAACGTCTGACCAGTGAGGAAAAGATCGCGGTCCACGACAGAATGTTGGGCTGAGGGTTTTCTTTGCGTGGCTGCGTCTGGCCGTCGAATAGCGGCCTGCGTTCTGGGGCACCCTTTTTGCCTCATGGTCTTGTTCCTTCCTCTTCCAGTTTACACGGGCCTTGATACCGAGAGCCCGGGGAAGAAAACCCCGCCAAAAATGCCCCTCACCTTGAGACTCCGGAGCGTTGACCCCGCCACGAGTTGTTATCGCTTTTCTCCATCTCTTATCGCTTTCAAGCACCTCATGATGCATTTAAGAAGACATCAACTCCAAGCCGGTTACCGCGGTCAGAGACAAACATTCTAGTTGCTCATGCGTCACTTGTCGACAGCGCTTCATATGCACCTCTGGTCCCCTTTTTGGACCGCTAGACGTCTTGTTCCCGGATTTGGCGCCCACCTGGAGATGACACCAGCTCTCAAGTGACAGGTCTCAGGGTCATATGCCCTCGTGTCTTGGTTATCGTCAACCATTCACGCCCTTGTTCTCTCAGCCTGAAGCAGAGATAACGATTCCGCTTGGCCTGGCTGTGATACCTGTTGGTGTCGCGTGCCTCGTTTGAGTTAGTGTCTCCTGGCGAGACATTTCGGCAGCTATGAGTTGGCCTCATGACTTTGTCACGCTGTGATAATCAAGATCGGATTCTGAGGCTACCTATATCGATCGCTATCTGCAGCCTGCTCTTCCCTTGGCTAGAAAACCAGGGTCTTAATGGTATCCCGCTACTAGACATGGATACTTCGAACTCTTTTGATCGCGTTTTCGTGACAGCCATGGCCAAATACCTTTTTGATCTGGTGGCTTTGAATTAGGTTGACAGCAAAATGTCTCAAGGACTCAATGCCAGTTGTGTCCTCCGTATCCCCGACCCTGACTTGGTATTTCCCCCTTCAACACAACAGCAAGGGAAGTCAGTTGTAGGTCATCACTATTATTCTCTGATTCTGTTGATCTGTCGACGGTGGAGAAGCCTCTGTGGGCCCTGACGCAATCCAAGAGGCCGTTCTCTTGGCTGAATGATTCCCAGTCGAATCGATTGGCAATCTCGGATGGGTCGAGGAGGCGTTGACTGCAAAGCCCAACTCCACGTGGCCGTCAAAAGGGGAACAGTTCGCTCCTCTCCTCCTGTTGCTGTTGCTGTTGCTGTTGCTTTTTGCCCTCATTTCCCTCGGGTTTACGCATTTTTCTCCCCTGATTCATGTGCGAAACCTTGGGCGTCTTGACAGTGACACGACGTAGCGATCGTCAATCAGGTAATCTCACTCACGTTGATGCTCCCGCTTGACACAAGACCCCGAAGGCGATGAACCGTTCCTCCGGGGAGTCGGGGGCCCTTGATGCTAGACCTCATTTGGTGTTGCCGTCGATGACTAAGTTGAGGTCTCACTCCCGTCAGAGGCTGTTTACTTTATCCCACGCAGGACTACTGAACCGGCCGACACTATTCAACAGTTTGATTTAGGTTTTAAGTTACCGTGGGAACAAGGGGCAACTCATGCGCTTCGATGCAATCTTGGTTCACGTGCTGTTGTTTATTTCCATCGTTGAGTCATCCTGGAAAAGAGCAGCATCATGGATCAAAGCCTTGGACACACTCTTCATCAACTCTGCGAGGTGGGCCGGCCGCCAACTCAACCGATACGCTATTATTCCTCCCACCCTCTAGTGGCCGTCGGTGACGGAGTTTGGTCTCACAGCCCGCCCAGGCCGGGGATGGATGGACCCAGCCAGAGGACAAAAAATTCAATGAGCCTCAAGCCTCGTCCCCAATTGAAATTTGGACCAAAAATTTTAGGTAGCACCGCAATCTCAGAGTGCAATCCAGCTCCAGCTCCCCCTTTGGCTTGGCGTAGCACATGTCGTTCGTTGGGGATTGAGGTGCTTCGCGTCGAGTTGATGATCTTCTTCGAGGTTCCAACTGCTGGCGTCATTTGAATCCTAGACGGACAAGGGCACCTCTGACAGCAGACTCGGATTGGAAAATTGTAGCTTCCTGCCAGGCTTGCGTAGGTAGGTTTCTTGCTGGGATTCTTCACTGTGATCGCCACAACCTCCCTGTGTCCAGGGACCTTGGGGACCCGTAGCTTGAATGACAGCCAATCAGATACCCCATTTGCCTCCATCACTCTGTTCTTGGGCAGCCTATGATAACCACCACGACCCCCATGAATTAGAGCCGTCCAGTGTGTAATTACCTGCCTGGCCTGGGCTACTCCTCAAACCAAACCCACCATCCTCCCTCCTCCCGCGAGCCTTACGACTGAGACGTCCAGCGCCTGTTCCTCTTCTCGTATTCCCTGGGCTCGATTGCCGACTTATCCATCCCTTATTCTTCCAGCATCAACATCATCATTTACCGACTCGACCGCCTGCTCCTCGTCCTCGTCCAATCCGCCGATCTCGACCGTTTTCTTTGTCACCTAGGTCACAAGCCAGGCCAGGTTGAGACCCAGCAACAACACGACCCCATCCGTCCACCGACCGCCACCACCCCTCGAATCGTAACCCTGGAGTATCAATATTCTTCGATAAACCGGCTGGCCTCTGCCTCGATTCGTCCTCTTCGCTTCTAGACAATCTATGACAGCAGCTTCTCCTTAGTGGCGACGGCTTCGATCCATTTTGTTGGAGCTTTTGGGCGACCAAACCCAGCCGACCGAGATTTGCTGCTCAACCCCGCCATACTCAGAGCACGCCTCTCTCGCAGCCCTTTTCTCACCATCTGACCTGTGGTTTCGGCCTTCTCTCGGCCGACTCCAATTATGCTACAGATGCATGGCGGACAACCTGATCATGGTATGCCTTGCCTACCTAGACTCGTCCCCCACCGCAGCTGACCACGATGCTCTTGCGCAGGCACCGACAATCACACGGGAGACGACCATCAACGCGGGCGGGAAAAGCTGGCGACGTCGCTCTCCCTGCCAAAGAACCGTAGCACCGGCAACCTGGTTTCCGCGAGCGAGTCGTCACCAAAGCAAGATCGTAGTAGAGTCCGAATGTCGCTGGATGCGTCTGCGGCGGCGGCGGCTGCCGCTGACCTTGAAGCCATCACCAGGTGCGTCGAGTGGAATCATGTGTCGCTCAGCCCGGGTGTGGCGGCCAACCTCAGCCCGTTTTCCGCTGACCACCCTGTCAACCCCAGGTCCCCCATCATGACGGATCATGAGCATGGCCTAGGCCTTTCTGGCCTCCGCCGCATAAGACAACAACGCCCTCCGTCCCGGAACCCAACACTACCGGGATCTCGAGCCTCATCTCGAAGCCCTTCCGTAGCCACTCTGTCTCGCTCCACCTCGATGACTGCCATGGTCTCTAGCACCGGCAACCTGCCGCTGGCCGGTGGTCCGGCATCTCCTAGCTTCTCCGAGGATCTCTCACGCTTTCCTTCCGAGTCTCTGCACTCGTTCTCTTTTGCCAATCAGTCTGAAGACTTCTTGCACAACCGGCACAATGTCTTGAAGCGGTCCATCGAGTTCATGAAGGACCATAGCCTTCCCATGAACTCATCACAGGCGGCTCTTGCAAGTGCTCAAGCCAGGGCCAGCGGTGATGTTGAGACTCAAAATATGCTTGACCTGCTCGCCCAAGCACAGCTGATTAGAGCTGGAAATCTTCCAAACCCTGATGAATCTTATCAACCAGCTCCATTGACAGGCCCTGCTGGAGCCTCCGAAGACAACGTTTTCGACAAGAACTTTAACCCTCGAGTGTCGAGCACTGATTTGACTCAGCTCCGACAAACTTCTCCTGCGCCAATGACCCGACGGTCACGAACTGAGACGACGAGAAGGTCTAATGTTGTTGAGCCGACAGAGTTTGATCGTGTCCCAGAGTCAACAACAACAATTAAACCTCCGACGGGTGAGGAGGAAATTCCTGCCACTGTCAACAAACCTACACCTGCACCCGCACCTTCACGACCCACGAACCTGAAGCGAACCATGACAGACATAATGTCGGTATCTGTTCAAGACAAGTTGATCGACACTATGGCTCAGCCATTTTTGACCGGCCAGCCCATGTATCAAGAGCCATTGGCGTCACCATCTTTGGCGGATCTACGCAGCTCCTCGTCATCCAACTTTCCTACTCAGCTCGGTCCCTCAGTTCATGGACACACAAATCGATGGGTTCCGGCCGCCCAAGCGATCTTTACGACGGAAGTGAAGCCTCCGTGGACAATCATTGCGGCAAACGACCTGGCTTGCTTAGTGTTTGGCGTAACGAAAGCCGAAGTGCGCAAGATGGGCATTCTGGAAGTGGTTCAGGAAGAGAGACGATCGTGGTTGGAGCGCAAACTTCTCAAGAAAACAGAGGACGAATTCTCGGATGCCAAAGTGTCATCGGGGCAAGCAACACCGGCAGCTTCGGCAGCTTCAGCATTGCTCAACGGCCGATCTGGTATTACAGCTCAGCTCTTGAGCAAACCAAACTCAAGAACACAACCCCGGAGCTACGCCGCGAGGCGCGCACAAACCGTTCACAGTGGTGACCCTAGTCCTCCAAAGGCCCGTGGTGGAGGACACCATCGAAACACATTATCAAGGGGAGTACTCCTCTGTGGTGATGTTGTACCAATCCAGAAGCGCAATGGCGCAACAGGCTCTGCTAGCCTTTGGGTCAAGGAGAAGCGGGTAGGCCTCATCTGGGTTCTGGAAGAGATCCACGAAGACGTAGCCCACATCTCCCTGGATGAAGATGGCATCGTCCAAGAGGTGACGGGGTCCACGTTACCAATCTGGGGTTTCGAGTCGATTACTCCAGGGTTCGATATCGCCAGACTTATCCCAAGAATCCCCAGGCAGGGTATCGATCCCAATACTGGAGAGATTGATTTCGCCCAGGCCACACGGCGAAGATTCTTCACATGCCCTTACTCTCCCACGGTCAACATTCCTTGCACTGTCGAGCAAGTCAGGGGCAAACTACAACTCCGTATCTCGACATTCCCTCACATGGCTGGAATCGTGGTGGTTGAGCCAGAGGGTCTCAAGATTCGAAGCTCCAACTCGGTCTTTTGCGGTGCGCTTTTTGGATTCGAAAAGGCGGATGGCAAGTCCATCAACACCATCATCCCAGATTTCGACAAGATCCTGGACTCGTTGATAGAAGAAGACGGGCTTCAGCTGCTCGATGGTATGGTTGTTCCTGAGCATCGGTTCAGAAAGGCATCCGCGTTTCTCGCTCTAAAGGAGCATCGCCCTGATGCTGCCTCCGCTTTCCTTCATCCCGCTGGGTTACGCGCAAAGCACCGCGACGGATCAGACCTGAAGGTTGACGTTCAAATGCGCGTAGTCAAGAGTGAAAAGAAGACGCTCGTGGTCAACGAGACGGTGGTGGAAGGCAGTGATGAGGATAACGCCAACCCGAGCAGTGGCGACGAGGCGTTCGAAGTGACCCGTTCAGAAATTGTGTATGCTCTGTGGATTACCTACTCCCGCCATCTCCATGGCACCCAGCCGAACCTCAACAATCTCGAGTCCCCTACCCGGTCCGGAGCTGCAACGCCCCTTCATCAGCCATCTCCTGGCCAGACCCCGGCCCATACTCCCCTAGAGATCACCTCGGACGACGAGGCGCCCCGAAAGGATCTGCTCGTTGCGGCAACCTCGCTCTCCAAGCAATTAAAGGACCTGACTCTCAGTGCCGCTGCCAAGATCACCGGCCAGCAAAAGCCTGCTCCCCAAGTTGATGAACCACCTCCGCCCCCCAAGGTCGTTGAACCCCCTCATAAGAAGACCATCAACGACTACGTGATTCTCGAAGACATGGGCCAGGGTGCGTACGGCCAAGTGAAGCTAGCCCGAAATAAGCAGTCAGGTAAGAAGATTGTGCTCAAGTATGTCACCAAGCGGCGTATCCTCGTCGACACGTGGACCAGGGATCGCAAGCTGGGAACTGTGCCTCTGGAGATCCATGTCCTCGAGTACCTCCGCAGACCCGAGTTCCAACATCCCAATATCATTGAGATGCAAGGCTTCTTCGAGGACGACATAAACTACTACATCGAGATGACACCCCACGGTCTGCCCGGCATGGACCTGTTTGACTACATTGAGCTGAGAACCAACATGGAGGAGTCCGAGTGCCGCAGCATCTTTGTGCAAGTAGCCAATGCCATCCATCACCTGCACACCAAGGCTCGGGTGGTGCACCGCGATATCAAAGACGAGAACGTGATCCTCGATGGAGAAGGCAACATCAAGCTCATTGATTTCGGGAGTGCTGCATACATCAAGAGCGGTCCTTTTGATGTCTTTGTAGGAACCATTGGTGTGTAGCCCCCTGAGCCTGACATTAGCTCGATGACCTGACTAACTTGCGACTAGATTATGCTGCTCCTGAAGTTCTTGCTGGCAAGCCATATCGTGGTACAGAGCAAGACGTATGGGCACTTGGCATTCTTCTGTATACCATCATCTACAAGGAGAACCCCTTCTACAGCATCGACGAGATCATGGATCGCGACCTACGGATCCCCTTCACCATGAGCGAGGAGAGCATCGATCTGATCCGCGGCATGCTGAACCGCGACGTCGCAGACCGCTTCGACATCAACCAGGTCCTGGAGCACCCCTGGTGCCAGGTTGACGTCGCCTCATGAGAGCCACACTCTCCTCTCACTCGAACGACACAATGACGATGACGACAACGACTACTGGTTAACCAGATGAGTTGGCCTATGTCTATCGGCAACTTCTTTTTTGGTCATGATACCCCCTCCTCCAGCAACAAGACCAACCCCTTCTTCCTTTTGTGTGTTTTGTGGGTTAGAGACGTTTCGATTGGAAAGCCGAAATGAAAGATAGAAAAGAGAAAAAGACCATCTCAGCCAGGAAAGGCTGAGCACGATGACGAGTTGGTAGAGAGGGCGCTATTCTGACAGGAATTATATTTGATTCGACGGGTTACTACTACTACTACTACTACTATAAATGAGCCAGCAGGATCAGGGGCTGATGATGGGTCTGGGATGGCAAATGATGGGAGTTGATTGCAGGGTTTGTCTCTTTTTTCTTGGAATTTCGTGGATAGAGAGCAACCAAGACAGCATGTGACGTGACACAATGGATGTTCACTTGGGAAACGAATGGTGAATAGAGATGATTGCGTGGTGGCTATCAATATAATATTCACAAAAAACAAAGCCCGTTCTTCTCTTTCTAGCTAATGATAACTCAACTCCGGGTTTGCCCTGAAATTGCAACGACAACGACATTCGGGCACTGGGCATTCGACATGTCTAGCAAACCACTGCCTGGCGTGATCTAGATGCAAGACATGCTCGCAACGTAGGCAAAAGGTTGGGAACCGGCCTGCCATTTTGCCCTCGCCCTTTTCCTCAGGCTTGTCGGAGCGTGGCACGCCGACAATCTCGAGGCAGACGACGCAGCGCGGGAGGTGGCGGCCACAGTTGGGACAGCTCACACCAGCGTTGATGCTCGTGGCAAGGAGTGGATTACGCGTCTCGAGTGATGAAGGGCCGGCAGCTCCCTGCGCCGAGGTACCGGCTCCAAGGTGAGGCGGCTGATGGTTGTTGACGAGCGAGGTTTCGGCGTCGCAGAAGACGCAGCGAAGGGCGATCTGTCGTGAGGGAGGCTTGAGGTTGGGGATTCCATCACGCTTGGAGCGTTTGGTGGACTCGACGTCGAACTTTGTGCGATGAAAGAAGAGCTTGTGACGCTGAAGATGAGCTCGGTAGGCGTTGCGCCAGGCGCGGCAGCGGATGTCGTCGATATAACGGGGGGCACAGATGGAGAGGACGAGAGCCGCCGTCTGGACGTCGTGGAACTTTTGTATGTAGCGGGCAAAGATATCAACCAAGGTCTCCGAGATGCCCGTAAAAACGATGCCCTCAATGTCACCGTCAGCGACCGCTAGGCCGACCTGGTCGTTAAGCCATGCGGTAAGTTGATCGTCGTCAAAGTTGCGGACGGCGACATAGGCTCGATCAGAGAGGGGCAAGGATTGCTGGTTGGCGATGGCTGACCAGTCCCCAGTTGCGATGAGTGACGAGATGGCACGAAGATAGGGGTCAGTCTTGGAGGCTACGGCCTCGTCAAAGTCGAGCTGCTCCTTGGCGAGCTGGCTATCGCCACGGCCCATGAGCTGTAGGGCCAAGGACACAAACAAGAGTTCCGGGTGCGCGGTGCTGGCCTTTTTAAGGATCTGAATGGCCTCTTTGTGGTCACCCGTGAACAAGGCTCGAGCAGCGGCCATGGTATGGATGGTGGTGGGATACTCAGGGTCTGCCTTCCGGTTGCGGCCCTTGGGATCGTGCTTCTCCGAGTCGCCCCAGCCACATATCTCGAGACAGAGCTGACGATGACCGGGCCACCTAGTGGTTTTTCCGTCAAACTTGGGGAGGTGGTTCTTCTTACAAAAGGACGCGATTAAACGCTCCCAAGTTGATCGATCAGGGGGTGATGTGCCGGGTGGCAGTCTAGTTGGAGGATCACGGCCTATAATCATGTCAGATCAAGCAGTACTGTAAGCAAAGTGAATGCTAACCTAGATTGTTTGTCCATATTGAGTGGACGCCCAAGTAGCTGAGATCGAGGCCCGAAAGGATCAAACCTCCATCATCAGCAGTATCTTCTGCGGCTAGAGAGAGGTCAGTATTTGATAGACAACACTATAGTCCTTTAAACCAGACTTACTTGCAATCCAATCCCAGACATACTTGACCCAGGGGTCATCTGCTACAATGTCTCTATTGGCGACGGCATCGAAAAGGTACTTTTCCTTGGCACGCAAGAGCATTGTATGGTCAATGACGTTTTGTGCTTCTCTGGGAAGTCCCTCCGCCTCCGCCAGCGAAGCCAACAGCGCATCGTGGATCTCACGGCATGAGCCCAGGCTATCAGATGCTAGAGACATCTCGCTCATCTGGCTTTGAACGATCTTGGTGTCGCCGGCGCGTGGCTTAACGCCGTTTGCTGATTTAGGGGCCTGGAATTCGTCCCTCACAAAAGCGCGAAGAGCCCGTATCTTTGGAGCAACAGTGGAGGCTTCGTGAAATGCCTCGGGCAAGGGTGAAGTAGTTGCCCCAACGTTCTCTATCGAGACGGAAGATAGGGTATTTGATTTTATCGCAGCTTCGGTGTCTGCCCGAACGTTTGCGCTCTCTGGTCCAAAGAGCGGGACATCTGAAAGGGCTTGTTCCATGAGCAGAGGCCCCAGAATCTCTGGGGCTTGAGATGGTTCGAATTGCATCATGCTGTGGTAGGGAGCTCCTTCTGGTATAGGGTCAGGTTCCGCAAGCTAGATGAAGAATCGAATCGACATACCTTCAAGGCCACGATGCGGTGCTTGCCAGGGCACAAGCTTGTAGACATGATCTGAAGTGTGGGATGGCTGCTCCAAGATCTCAAAGTTTCCATTTGCTCGTAGGACAAGAAGTCGTGGGCGAAGAACAGGAGAACTCAACGTCACCCAGTCAAAGGCGACTATTCGGTCATTCTTTCTTGATGTTTCGACATACGAGACATCCATCTCGTAAGATTTCTGGACCTGGAGGAGCTCTGGACCAGTAGAGTTGGCCGATGGGGTCTCTTTGTTGGTCTTTAATACCTTGAGCTGACCAGTACGCGACAATACGGCCAGGAGGCCTCGGTGGTCGCGACAATAACGTAAGGATCTGACAAGAGAATACTTGCCATCTGCTAAGAAGGGGTCGGAATCTGTCTCGATCACTCGATCAAGACGCAGAGCTCCTCCCCAAGGCAGGTCATCTTCATCAACCGCCTGTAAGTAAGAATGAGCAGCCACAGGCCTCGTGGTTGCACGCCGATCCCAGATCATGACACCAGGATGGTCCAGGGCGGACGATGCAAAGTAGTTTTGATCGGCATAATCAATCGTGAGGTTGTTGTTGCATTTGGTCTGAAACGTAACAACACCGCCAGGATCTAATGAGATAGGACATCTAGATTAGCTTGATAAACTCAATATTGATGATTAGAGTCTTACCGCGAAGATCATGTATGCGAAGTCCTTGGGCCTTGATACCCACCACGAGCGTCTGGGGGCTGTCCTCGAAGAACTTGATACTAGAAACAGACACACTTGGTTCAAGACGATTCTTGGGGTCTGAAATATTGGTGGCATCCGATGGGAAGCCTTTTGTGTTCTTGTCGAGCGAAGACAGGCGGCTAACATCCCAGATATGGAGACATTGGTCCATTCGAACGCGATCAAGGCCAACAGCTAATAGGCCCGTGATGTTGAATGCGACAGCCTGACATGTGCGAGACATCTTGAGACCCAGCTCAACGTATGCATTGGATCCATCGTCGATCCTTAACAGGTTCACAATACCGCTCCCAGTGCCGACGGCAAGAAGACCAGGGTTGGTGGGTGACCAGTCATAAGTAGTGAGCGGAGGAAAGTCATCGTGACGGTTGAGTTTCTTGTAGTCAAATCGGCCTGCTCTGGCGTGTCCGACGGGCTCATAGACCTGGACAACACGGTGCTGGAGGTTGATGTGGATGAAGTTGTCCCATGAAGGGTTGGAAGACCATTTGACGAGCCCTGGTTCTGGGCGGTCCATGACGGAGACTGATCAGCCCAGCGAGGGGGCCTATCACACGAGCATGTGAGTTGGCGATGAAACTCTTTATGAGTGGTATCTTTAGGAGGAGGATGCCAGCGGTTGCGGCTTGAAGGTTGGACCTGGGGTGAGGTTGAAGTGAGCTTCCTGAGTCAGGTGCCGAGTGTTTTGAGCTGGACTTTGAGAGTAAGCCCAATGTGAAAGGGTATCCAAAACAGTGATAAAGATAATTATTCCCTTTGAGGGCGGCGATTGGGTGCCATTGACATCAAGAAATGAGACGCATGATGGTTTGCGTGGTGTAGGTGGGAGTATGGAGTATTGAGTAGGTATGGATGCTGGGTAAGGTACCTTCCACTCAGCTCACATGGCAGAGCACACCTTCTCCACATTTGGGACGCAGGGCGCTAATCTAAATACGGAAAGTGCTGATAAGATACTGACCTGACGATCCCCGCCAGTCGAAAAAAAAGTTACTGACTTTGTCAATCTCTCGCTCGCCCTTCTATCCCCATTTACACCCAGGTTATCAGCCAACATCAGCGACAACCTTCCACCTTTGATTACGCAACCTTCGCACCTTCGTCATGGCTCCGAAGCGAGACTTTGAAGAACTCGGCTCCCCTGGGCCTGATCAAGAAGGCTTCAAGAAGCGCAAGCACAACACAAAATCAAAGCATAGGCCGAACGAGGGAACATCGGGATGGGCCAAGAAGCGGACGCGCACGATCGAGCGACTCCTGAAGCGGAATCACGACCTTCCCGCCAATGTACACAATGACCTCGAACGCGAACTAGCCGCTCTCAAGAGCACCGTCTCCGACAAGGCTTTCCAGAAGAAACGAAGCGCCATGATTTCGAAATACCACATGGTCCGCTTCTTTGGTATGGTATTTCTTGGTTTACCTGGCAGGTTTAGGAACTAATGTCGAGTGCAGAACGGAAGAAGGCATCGCGATTGGCAAAGCAACTGCGCAAAAAGATTGAAGAGACAGAGGCCCCGGAAGAACTCGAGGAATTGAAACGGGATCTCCACGTCGCCGAGGTTGACGAAGCATACACTCAACACTTTCCCCACGCCGAAACCTACATCAGTCTGTATCCTGTCGACAAGCGGGAGAAGGACGCCGACGATGACAAGAATGATTACACACCACTGAAGCAGCGAGGCCTGCTGCATACAGAGCGGCCACCAATCTGGTCCGAGGTCGAGCAGGCATTGAAGGAGGGGCCCAGCGCTTTACGAGGGTTGAGGGAGAGACGGTCGCCGGGTGGTGTGGAGGAGGAAGCCAAGCCCCAGCGTCGCGAGAACAAGCCCAAGGCGCAGGCGAGCGTGAGCAAGCCCGTGGCAAAGACACAGCCAAAGCAGCAGACGTTCAAGGACAAGAGCACATCGAACAACAAGGACGATTCGGGAGCCGCGATGAACCGCAGAGAGCGCCGACGACTGATGCATCAAAACAAGCAACCAGTCGTGAAGAGCGACGACGACGACAGCGATGGGGGCGGCTTCTTCGAGGAGGACTAAGCACTGGGAAAAGAGAGAAGAGGGACATGGAAGAAATGTCGATGTTCATGCGCTGCTGGCTTCTTGCTGGGCGTTTTTTTCTCGCATACACATACACATTATATAGATTGTTGGTAGATACCCCTGCTGCCGATGGGTCGAGCCGTGTGGGTTCGGCCAGGCTGTAACCAACACAATTGAGCGATTCCAGGATCTCAGACTCGACGAACCATGAAAAAAGCGAAGCAGTTTCTGCCTGACGAGACGATATGATGCACGTCGTCGGCCTCTCAGATAGCCTAGTCCCACCGAAGCTAGGCCATGGCCGGCCCCCCAAGCCACGGCCGCGGCCCAGTCGATGACCTCGTCCAGGCACACCACTATGAGAATGAGATAATGCCGCCTGAATAAGAGACAAATCGCGTACACTTTTGAATAGCAAGGATCCAATCATTGAGCGTCTCTATCCTTGGGCGGCCTTGCGCAGATGAGGCCGGCGAGGATGAATCAGTTGGTCAATGGAGAAGACCCCTCCAAGTTGCCTGTCTGTATCCTACCTATTGTGTGTGGTTCGCCATTGCGATCTTGCATGAAAAAGAAGGCGGTTCTTTTTGATTCCGCAAAAACTGCCGTTGTTGGCTTTATTTACTAAATGGGTCAATGGCGTATCTATATAATCCCCTCAGTCATCTTATAAAAAGACCTCTTTACCGTTCAGCAGACAACCTTCAAGCCTACACAACATTGGCCTCTGGAAGGGTGATCTCATCACGCTTCATAGAGTTCACGACGACGCCTCAACGATTACACTCCACCACGAGCAAACCGAGAATCATGGCTCCGTCCACTATTCAGGGAGGCATTCCTTGGGACCTTCTCATTGAGTTTGCCAGAGAGAAGAAGGCGGAGGAGGAGCAAACTGGCTTGCCTGCGCTGTTGGACAAGCAGCAAACCACCGCTATCTCGTCCCTCATCTCGCTCATCCCAGAGCCTGATGTCACCGAAGGGAACTGGATCAGCGCTTTGAGCGGTAATTGATCTCTTCTTTCTATCTCTACACATCGACTAACACGTCTCAGAATACTGCCAGCAGAATACGCACCCTCTCCCGCACTGGCTTCCTAGTGAGACGTTCAGCATCATGGCCCACGGGGTGCGTCTTCAGCGTTCTCGCGTCAGCTGCCATCTCTCTTGGTGCAACCAGACGTTCCCTCAGGAAGGATTCGGGTACGAGGCCGGCCAAGATCCCCCTACGTTCAAGCATGCGAAGCAAGCGAAGCAGTTCGCAGCCATGCAGGCGTACAATTACATCCAGACCACCCGGGGAGACAAGCGTCCTGCCTCCACGACCCAGGGTTCCCCCTCTCGAACTAGAGTCAAGGCTGAAGAGGACAACTCGGACGGAGGCGTTTCCACGACTGCTGCGCCTCCCCAGACCAGCGGCCCCTCCAGCAGTGCCATCTTGATCCGTGAGCGAGTCGCCCTTCTCGCAGGTCAGATGAACTACGGTATTCCAGAGTACTTTATCGAACAGGACGGCGAAACTTGGAGAGGCCGCCCAATCTTTAGAAACGATGGACGGATCCCCGAGGGTGTGGGCGCCGTGAGCGGCCACGCTGATCGACAGCAGGCTGAGGATGCCGTCGCTGAGAAGGTCCTCGAATGGCTCGATAAGGAGTTGCTGGCCAAGGAAGCGCTGCTTGGCAAGACTACAAGCCAGATCTGAGGCCTTGTGGTATATGCTGTTGTTGTTGTTGTTGTTGTTGTTGTGCAAGGGGCGCTGGAGAGCTACAAGAGTCATGTCATGGCTGTCAAGGACAAAGATCAGGAGAGAGCAGCCACAGCTAGTAAACGAATTCACGACCTTTCAAATAATGGACATCATGCAAGCATTCACTTAGTTTTGATTCTCTAGACAACTCCATCAAGAGCCACCCCGTCTCCCTCCCCTTCCTCCCCTTCCACCACCACGAGGACCCTTGTTAAAAGGAGGTCTGATCTTCAACCCGCTAGGAAGATCAGCAACATGTTCTCCATCTTGCCAAAGCACGCCAACATCAACAGTCCGACCCGTCGCCAGCTTGAAGAACTTGGAGCTCAGGATACCCTGCTCGTCGCCCTCGGTCAGCAGTACGCCGTTGTCGCTCATCCACCACTTGACGCCCTCCTTCAGGCTCGCCTCGATGTCGATCTCGATGACCAACTCGGCGTCCTTGCGCATGCCGCTCACTACACCCTCCTCGGGAGTTCCTGTTGAGCAATGCACATGGTTGCGGTTCATGGGCTTCAAACCCCCCGTCTCAACGATTTTTGGCCAAAAGTAAAAGAAGGTGCCGTGCAGGACGCGGTCAGGCACGTTTCCGGCTTCGATGGTGATGGGTGCCAATAGAGCCGCTGACTCGAGCTTGATTGAGTGACCCTGGTTGGCGCGGATGAGGTAGTCCTCAGGTGAAGTTGATGTGGTTGATAGGGATGGGTTTGTGCTAGGGTTCGGTTTGAGAGTGAAGCGCTGCTTGTCGTTGGAGGTGACTATGGATTGCACATCATCCAAGGTGACTTTGAGAGAGCGCAAGGGACCCCATGCAAGCTATGAGAATGTGTTAGCCGTGTCTTCAAAGCCAGGTGAGGCATGTTCACGGCAGTCCATACGACAGCCATCACAAGTCGAGCTCGGTTTCACTTACCACTGAACTTAGAGGTGCAAACCCTTCATCGTCAAGCTGGATACCCGCGTTCCCAGCTTGATGTCTCAATAGCTTCGACAAGGCCTTTGATACCTGAACCTCCCTTCCCTGTCCACCTCCACCACCACCTCGACCCTTTCCCCGTCCTCTATCACCCCTTCCTTTCGAAGCACTGCTTTGAGCCTTTTCTTCCAGCTCTAGAAGTGAGGCGTCTTGCGCATCTTCTCGGAGGTTGTCAGCCATGTTGCGTGTTTGTTGTGTCAAAGTTGTGGGCTGAATCGAAAGAGATGTCTTGGGACGGTTTATAGCACTTGGATGGCGCAAGGATATATGATGAGTTGTTGAGATTTGGAAAAGTTTTCTTCCAAAAAGAGCAACAGACGAGGGTAATCTTCTCAGCTTGACTGTGTAGAGAAAGAGCATCAAGCCTTAACAAAGAGAATTGTGGTGATGGTGGGGCTGAGTACATTCACTTCGGCCTGACTCAGCCCTCGCTGCGGTTTCTAGGCTGCCAGCCTCATAGCCCCAAGTTTTACACATAGAGCCATGATATGTCGAAAGATGTGAATTGAGAAGCCAATAACACTTTACGCATGTTTCGAGTCTTTTATGAGAAATCTCACTTATACGCGTAGTGTGTAAATCTTATCAACAATCGTTATTCAAGAGAAATCAACGTCTTCAAACATCACAGACAAAAGAGTACATCAAATGAACCATCAAAAGACAGGCCGTGATTACCACGACCGCGCCATATCATACATTAGACTAACTGGCATGTACCCATATGCTTATCCTGGTCCCATTGCATTCCCCCTCTTGTACGGCGTCGCCTCCAAGAGAGATGGACAGCCGCGGGGGTTTCTTCACCATGTCGCCGCCCTGTAATGCGCCGTTTTCAAAGACAACCATCCCAACTCCATGATACAACTTTTCTTTCGGGCTTATTTCGTCTTCCTTGTGTTTGTGTATGTATGTGCCTCTTCTGGTGGTGACAGCGTAGGTATGTACACTGAGGTTGAGCAGCCATCGACTTGTCGACGGACCTGCTCGTCATGAATCGTCAAGCCGAATCAAATGCGACAGAAAAGGAAACGGGGTGCCTCCCGTCCAAAGCGGAATATAAGAAAATAGCCACGTCCTGCGGTCGAAACATAAACTGTGTGTATAGTGTAATAGTACAATCGTAAAGTCAATGCAAATCGTTGTCATTGGCGTCATCTGTAGCCGCCAGCAGCTGTAGAAGGGTTGGCAGACGCAACAATGCTGTCTCGATTCGGCCTCCTGATCATGCTGCCGGTTCGGTTGATCAACGTCGTCTGTCCCATCGACATGTAGCGTTGTCCGCGATCCTCGGCGAGCTTGTCAGCCACCGTGTTGTTGTTATTGTTGTTGTGATCCTGTTGAGTGGATCTCTCTAGATATCTCCGAGGGGGCGTTGCCATACTAGTCGCAGGCGTCGCTAGCCGGGAAACGGTAAGGTTGGAAGAGGCGAATCGTCGGCGGGGAATGGCTGAAGTAGTGTCAGACGCTTGTTGTTGTGGCGTCGCATCATGTGTCACTGTGCGAATCGCGTTGAGCTCAGTGTGCGCTCGTGAAGGCGATCTGAACTTCATTTCGTCTTCGCTCTCGTCGCCAACTGTTCCTCTTCGACCACGCACAAACAGGGAGGTTCTTCGGCCTTCGTCGGGTTCCTCGGTTCCTGCGCGTCGAGTTCTCAGCAACAGAGATGACTTCCTGCCATCTTCTGGTTCCTCAGTGCCTGCCCGGCGAGACCGAGCCACCAAAAGAGAAGATCTCCGCTGCGAGATTGGCTCCAGTGGAGTAGATGGCGTAGAGTTTGACACACGAGAAGCAGGGAGCGAGTTTCCGTTGAGGATGTTGAGTCTCCTCTCCTCAAACTTGGACATGGCTCGAGGACTAGTATTCGCCCTTGCCAAGGCCTGCTCGGTGTTTGACAGACTCGGTCGACGTTGATGAGTAAAACCGGTGAATGTCTTGTTGATCGTCGGTGTCGTCGGTGCGTCGTTCTGAACAGGAGGGGGGGCCTCCACCGACTGCCGTGGTCGTGTTTGTGTCACCTCCTCGCCCAGCGCAAGGCAGAGCTCTGTTAGGCTTCGACACACACCCTCCGCTTTCCGTCTCAATTGGCGATCGGTGACGGTTGTGCCAGAACCAATGGTGCTGGCGCCACTCGAGATTGGCCCGGGCTGACCGACGGTTCCCATCATAGAAGAAAGCGCCATGGCATCGTTTGCGGCAGCCTCAAGAGCCCGGTATACTTCGGCATCAAGCAGAACCTTGGATTTGGCAAGGGCCGAGTGCAGGATCGGGTGCGATTCTCGGTGCGAAGACGTGGTGCTAACAGCGTCCGCGTTCTGATTACCGTTGGTAACTCGCTTAGGTGATGAGGAGATGGTGGTTACCGTTGTGGTTGCTGTTGGTGGTCGTTCATCTGATAGTCTCGATACAGCGGCGCCCGATGTTGACGGGAGCTTGCCTGTCAATTCCAGACGGTGAATCCGAGACTTGAGATCGTCAAGCTCATCCCACACGGTTGAGGGCGCTGTGGTGGACAGAGTGGACTCAGTTCCTTCAGGCCCGTTACTTGTCTCTTGGTTTGGTTGACGCTGGAAATCGAAAGATCGAACTAGTGGGGACGAATTATACGTCTTGTTGTGGTGTCCCAAAGCAGATTTATACGTGGAACTGCGCGTTTGCCCGTTCGAGTTCGAGTTCGAGTTCGAGTTGTCGGTGACTGAGGGACGTCGGCGAGACGTCGCATCGTTGCCGGGCTCCTGGAAGGCTATCGATCGAGGCGTCACCGGTGATGGCCGGATAGTCGATCGGCGGCTTAAATCCTCTCCGGGATGTACCGATGCGGCTTTGTCCCTCGTCAATGATCGGTAAGTGGACATACGAGAGACCTCACTGGCTCTCTCGTCGTCATAGCCCCTTGACCGAGACGTTTCCTGCTGGTCAGAAAGACGACGCCGCACCTGGGGAGGTGAAGAGGGCTGGCGGGCTGGAACAACGTTGGATAGTGGTCGGCGATGGGAGAATCGTGTTGATCGTGACTAGTCCAGTTAGCATTCGGTCGAGTAGCACGGGCAACGCTCGGGTACGGTTTCAGAAGCGAGGCAAGTGACCACACACAAGAGAATTTTCTTATCTCAGTGGATCAAACTCGGTCTCGCGACTTGAGAGCCCATACGCCGGAACAGATACGCATGGACCGTCACATGGGCGTAAGACAATGGGTTGGTAGGGCAAAGGAATTTACTCACCACGACACTTCGGGTCTCATCCGCAGGCTGCTCGTCCGGTTGTCGCCGGGAAGCCTCCTCGCGGGCAATCTTGAGGAAAACATCGCCGGTGTCATCGTTATCGAAGGCGTCGTGCCGGCTTGAGAAAGCAGGTGCTGAGCGCAAAACTTCATGGTCGGCTCTGCCCTCTAGGGCGCGCAGAGTTTGGTCATGGTTGGAGTCGGGGCCGTCATCCCCGAAATCGTAGTAGCGCGGCCTGGAATTCATGTCGAGGGTGAGGCTCTTGCGAGAGCCTGATGAGCGAAAGGCTCGGATGGGGGGAACGCGAACGGGATTCGAGGCCGGCGGCTCGGTATTGTTACTGAGAGGCGGCCGGTAGGATACGGGAGGTCGCTGCGAGAGGGACGATCGCCTCTCATCGATCGAGCTCGGCTTGGACAACGTCTTGGGCAATATCAATTCTCGCTGACCAGAGGAAGGAGAACCCTTGACTGAACCGCCGTCGGATGAGGAGGGGTAGGAAGCGTGAGCACCCTGGGCGGCCTCGATGGCCTCGATGGCGTGCAGGCGTTCCGCGTTCAAAGAAAGTGGCGGGCCAGTGGAGGCCGCAGCGGCTGTTGATCTGCGAGATACCAAGGATCGTCGGGTCCGATTCTTGTTGGAGGAGAGATGCGGGGAGAGGGTGTCGCCTTGGACAGGTGCAGGTGCGTCGGGGACGGATGCGGGACGCTTCGCCTGGGGTGAAGGCTCAACTACCGAGACGTCTGACGAGGGTTGAAAGGAAGAGGCCCTGGAACGCGATCGCAAAAGCGGCGGTGAGACGTCGTCGGTGGGCGAGAGTTCAGTGGGCGATGCTGTGTTCACGGAGGCGATTATGGTCGCAGATGCAGATGCAGAGACTGATGCAGTGTCGGCGTGTTTTTCGTCGTGGTGATGCGTTGTCGGGTGAGAAAGGTTAGAATGGGTCGTCGCCGGGGCCGTCGCTGGTGCTGAGAAAATGCCTGGCGCCGCGACTGGTCCACTAGCAGACGTGCTCGGAGGCGCCAATGGGCCTGGATCTGCTGATGCTGTGGATGGGAGTGCGCCCGGGACCGGGTGTGAGACAGAGGCCGGGGCGACGCTGGAGCCCGGATTGGGTGAGACAGGCGGAGAGGGAGCGTGGAGCGCAAGAGACGGCTGCAGTGGGAGCGCCGCTGATGTGTTTTGGGAAGTGGCGGGGGCGAGAGAAGCAGACGTCGAAGTGTCAGTGGATGCGTCGGTGATGAGGTTGTGACTGCCGTCGCTGGTTGTCGTTGTGGTGGTGGTATTATTATTGTTGTTGTTATTTTTCAGGTCCTGACTGGGGATCCGGCTATGGTTGCGCTGGGCAGTGGTTATGGTGATTGACAGGGGTGTGTCGGCCTTGCTAGCGGTATTTCCACTGCTGGCCCTTCGGTCAGTGAAGCGAAAGGCGGGCAGCTTAGACGAGCTGTGGCTCTGACGGTGCAAATCCGGGTTGACGAGGGCAGCAGAAGATGGAGATGGTTCAGATTGATGGGCAGGCCTGGCAGCGTCGCTGGATGCAGCGAGAATGGGCAGATGCTGGTGGGCACCCTCGGCACGGTTGGGGCCCAATTGGCCCGCACTGGTGAAACCGCCCTTTGCCGTCATGGTCTCGCCCACCGCAGCTCGGTAGCATCCCAGCAAGTGCTTGCAGATGAGACGTCAAGCTTCATCCACACCCTCGAGGTTTGGATGCGCGGGCGGGACGGGCACGCGATGGATGGAGGCCTGGGTATCGATGAGATCTGGAGTCGAATGTCGAAGAGTCGGATTTCTGCTTCAAGTTGGGCGCTCTCCGATATATGAGCTCTGTTGGGCTGTTGTCCTCGAGACAAGACCCCCGATGCAGTGGCTTCTTTTCTTATTAGTGATTACAATGAGCGCGGCAGTGCGAGTCTCAGCATGGGCCGTCCCATAGAACAATGAACTAAGACAGCAGAATGCCTCTCTCGAGCCTCCGTCTCTGTCAAAGCGCAAACGGTATCTTGAAACGCGTTCCTGGGAAACCAGACAATTCCAGAAGAGCGACGTCACAATGGAGCGGGTTCCCGGGTCGTCGAGGAGACCTGGTGTTGAATTGGGTAGTAGCAACGAAACAGAAAAAACACAGCCAAGCTGGGTTGGGTGGCAGGCGAAGTCGATCGCGGTGGTTTTTTGAGGTCCAGGCCTCTAAAAAAGGTCGAAGAAGAGGTGAGGAAAAAAGGGAAGGCTAGGCAAATGCAGCTCCAAGTCGGTGAGGTGAGTTTTCAAGATGCTGCCAAAGGCGAATGGCGAGCGCGGCCGTAGGGGTGGTTGGGTACCAAGAGGTCGAGAGAGAGAAGGAGAAGAATAAGTGACCAAGGAGCAAGGAGATGACGAGACGAGAGAGGGGAAGAGAGAAGAGGATGAAGAGAGTATTCGCTCAGGCGAAAGAAAGAGCAGCAAAAAAGAGGAGAGACGAGAGGAGAGCGTGCAAGCAATGGACGAGAATGAAAGGATAAAAGAGGAGGGGTCTGTCTGTTGTGCTTTGGCGAACGAGGAGCGAGGGCAGCAGGACCTCGACAAGGGCCCTACACGGACGGTCCCTTTTTTCGATCCAACACCAACAGTTGACCACTGGAACTTACAGCAGTCCCCTGTTGGGCGAGTGCGAGTGAAAGAGATGGAGGACGGGAGGATCCAGATAGACAGGTAAGGTGCTGGACTAGACGCAATCGAGGAGACGAGAGCTTTGGCCTTTGTCCAAATTGGCCAAGGAACGACGGCCACGAGCAGGTGGGCTCTCTCTTTTAGGAGGCTTGCAGCAGAGGAGAAGGACACCGCTCAGTCCAAGGCATCAAATGATGCATCATTGTCGGCATGCCATGTGTACAGAGTACTTGGGCCGACAGTCAACGCTTCCGGCTTCACTTTACTCTACTTGACTAGACTTGACTCGACCCGTCGAAATAATGCCCCGACAAAGCCGCGCGCCCCCCATGTCATGTCATGGATACTTTTGACGTCCTTAATGGATGGAGGGATGGACATGGACGGACGGCTAGACATTGTGGGTTTTTGCTTTAGCAAGTGGATGCAGTTCGCGCAAAAATCAGAGACATCAAGCCAGCCCAACGCCGGAACCATGCTATCGAGGTCAGGATTATTGCTGCACAGCACGCACATCACAGACATTGGATCCATGGCTTGTTCTGCTTCTGCTTATCCATCCATCCATCCATCCAGGATTGGGGGAGGAAGAGCATGGGGGGATCAATTCGATCTGCAACCGACCTTCCCCTGCAGAGAGAGACCCTGACGCCCGCGGCGCCGACAACATGTTGTGCTACCTTGGTTGATCACACTACGTACGAGTGAGAGTTGAAGACGGTTCTATTTGAAACGGCTCTGTGAAGCCACAGTTTCTCCTGCATCTCCCGGGTCTTGACGATGCCCTCCTTTTTCTTGGTCTCTTCTCTATCTCTCTCCCTGTCAAAAGCAAGCTTCGGGCCGCCAAAAGCTCCATTCCCAAAGCGACCCGAGCTTTTCATCCTGTCTCTGCACCGGTGCTGCGTTTGCTCCTGGTCCGATTTCAAACAGGACTATCCCAATTCCCCTTTGCGGTTCCCTTCTCGTACGGAATGCAACTCATCCCCTTGTCATCCGTCCTAGCGGCCAGAACATGGGCATGGGCCACCGTTGGATTCAACCGCCCGATGGACCGCCCGCTGAAGCTAACGTTAAACGGGACCTGAGCGAGAGAGATGGGGAGCGCGATAGAGTGAAGGAGCCCACTATTCCAGGGGTCGGCTCGTGGCTCGAGGAGGCTGGGCGCTCACCCAACGAGGGATAGCGCCAGGGCGCCCGTGGGAGCTTCGACCACCGGGTCGTAGACCAGAGGGAAACGCCTCTGCGGAACTACATGTCGCCATCCCTGTGCTGAAACAGAGGCTCTCTGGGGGTAGGATGCGCGATGGGGCCATCTATCGTCCAGTGGTACTTACATCTGGGCGCGGTATCAGGGGGGGAGGACAAACATGAGATGATTGCTCCAACCCCAAGATCCCGAGATGGATGCATTCGGCTCGCGCAAGTGTCCTCTTGTCCTGATTTGGTCTCAAGCAGGAGAGAGCTAGTGATCGACAGGTACGACGTAACGCCAAGTTCCACAGTCTCGTCGACAAAGTCTGAGCGAAGAACTGTCGTTGTCGTGAACCACTCTTCTTGTCGTTGGAGGTTGTTTGTCGGACTCTCCCCCACCCCCGTCCACCTTGAGGCCGGCACCTGGACCAAGCAGGGAAGCCCCTTGCACACTCTGCGAATACCCTCAGCGCTCAGAATCCGTCGTGGTCCCAAGATGGTTACTTGTTCGCGCCATGTACCGGGTCCCGAAGCGTTTTCTCCGATGAAAGGACCGTTCGCCTGTCTCTGGCCTGCAACAGGACCGCCGTTAATTTGACGTGGGTGGTTTCGTCTCCATCCTTAGCAGCGCAGATCGTCGAGGGCCAATCCTGACGGGGAAACTCTTGGCCGTTGGATCGTCCATGGATTGTTACTGTTACTGTTACTGTTGCTCTCTCCTTCTCATGTGGTTTTTGGTGGATGCAACCGACGATGCGGACTTTGCGACGGCGCATGCCAGGCGTCATGTCAGTTTGTCGTTAATGCGTCGACCTCATTTCGTTTCTCCCCTTCTATACCTAGGTAGCGCTGTCTAAGCGTGCTGCCTATGCCATATCCATATCCATACTATCCATATCCCTCCGCTCTCACCTAGCAAGCGAGCGAGCGAGCTTCTGCAAGGCTACGATTGCGGAAAAAGACGACCTAGGCCCCTTGGTCTACTTACCACTTGCCGGCCAAGCTGCAGCCATTGTTTCTCGCTTGCTTTTATTGCGGCTCCCCCTCTTCTGCAGTCTCGACTTCTATTTTGTGGGGTCCTATGCAGGCATTGACTTTGGGTCTAATGTTTAGCGGATGAGAGCTGCACTTGAATACGGGATATTGCGCCCGCGCGCTTCACAGCATATCGCGACAGCATCCATCGCTGAATCTGTCCTGTCGGCCGCCAGGTTAGGGCCTTGCAGGTCGAGTTGCCCGAGGCCGAATTGCCGTTGAATCCTTGTGGGGCGATGACCTCTGATGAGCCGCAGTAGCTCACCACACGTGTCTATCCCGATGTCGCTAACCGCATGGCGTTGGTGTTTTGGGTCGATAAACAAATTCATCATCGGCAGATGAAACGGTGCCTGGCCTGGGGCTTCCCGGAGATGGCGTGCTGTCTGGATCCGGACTGATTCTTTCACGTTGTGTTGCGTTGGGCTTCAAATGTCTTAGTCGAGCCGTATGCGGAAGTGAACCCTTGAGTCCAACATTGCTTCACATGGCTTGACAAACTTGTCGCAGGCCGGTTCAATATGACAATACCGTTCCGGGTTGGCTATACGACCGTTTTTAGAACATGTCTCGTGGACAATGGCGCGTTGAAGTCGTGGAAACGTGCCCATTCCCATTGTGTGATACAGACGGGCAAGACTGTCTCTTCATCAGGCAGAGCCCTTTGCGTCCCGTTCAAGCAGTCACATGGGGTGTACCAAACGATCAGGTTTCATTGTGCTTGGACATTCATGGCAACTTGATCATTCCCTGGTTCTGATTGTTGTTTCCAACCGGCTGATCTCAACCTGAGTGTCAGTCTGCCAACATGTCTATACACGCCTCACCACCATCCGAAACGGTTACCGTGGACTACATACCAGTCAACAACACAGCATCATTCCCGTATATAAACACCCAGTTAAATAATTATGACGAGGAACCACGGGGCCTAAAGAACTCGTCTCAGTTCTGCTATTCCTCATCATGATGGTCTTGGTCGGCTACCCTGTACAAAAACGTGGGCTCAAGACGCACATGAGCACGCCAACGGGTACACCAACAGCAAGCCAGTGGGTTGATATTGACTTTTTGATAGAGGCTTGTCATACATCAATGTGTAGATCTATGTCTTTGCACTTTTGACACATTCTGGCATGTGTGGGCTGACGGCATTGCCATCTCACCTACCACTACAAACTACTAAACCAGCTAAATATGTTTGGATCCAGCAACATTCAGCGTGCCGGTACAAGCACTGTATGCTCATGAACGATGCTCTAGCGCTTCCAGATCGTATAAAATACCATGTTTTTAATCCATGTTTTCCAGGGCAGTCACGATAGTTGAGTTACACCGCGTCCACAGGTATCAGACAAACAACATGCAGACGCCATGCTGGGAAACGTGTGCACATAAGACCACAGCTTATAGTGTAGCTCAGGCACTCGACAATAACAAACAACGAACTAGTGTAACAAGAGGAATCGGATGGCTGGCGTATTGCTTAGATACCTACCTATCTACGTCTCCTGAGTGACCAACCCAAGCCTCGATGGCCAGAGGTGAGTTGACTTTGGCTCATATATTTGCTCCCTGCCTCGCCAGGGTCATCATAACGCGATTAGACTAATGCATACACTCGAAAAAATGGCTCTTTGTTGTTTGTAGAAGTCCAAGGACTTAGTTATGTGGGAGTGACTCAACTTCTTAGGGCTTGATGCACTCACATGTTGGCTGATGTGTGATAACAGACGACAACTGCAAACAACAAT